CCACTTATATGAATATATTACATGATAAATATACATCAATAACAGTATTAGGGTTTATATATATATACATATATAGAGTTTATTGAATCAATAAAGCTTCAAATTTTTGGGTGTATTATTTTCTTTGGTAAAAGTGACATGTATTTTTTTTTTTGAATTCACGTAAGATGCCATCTGGAGTACTGAGATGATTCTCGTCTGACAGAAAACTTGGTATATTGGTCGCACAATTTCGTTTAAAAGAAAGGAAAATGTCAAATAATCTCGAAAACGTCCCGCCTAACCTGCTGTTAGATCTTCAAACTCCAAACAACGGTTTGTGTGCTGCTGAGAGTGCTCTACTATGAACTTATAATTTAGTGATTGATAATATACAAAAATAAATTACCTGCTATGAAAAAAATATACGAAAAAAATCCAATCAAATGATTTCACGTATATAATATGAAAAGATAACGTAAGCTGATATATGTTTACTGAATGTACTAAATAACTCTTTTTTTTTCAGGCCAATATATATGGTCTAAATTTGAGAAGTCTGATGATGGTAAGCGCGCAAGATGCCTTCTGTGCAGCGCTGTGATTACTACGTCAAAGTCCAGCACAACTGGCCTTGTAAAACATATACAAAAACACGATCGAGAATTCGTTCTAAAGAACAGAGATTATTTAATTACGAGTCTAGTTGTAAACGTGAACATCCCTTTTCAAGCGATCGGTCACGACGTGATGCGAATCCTATTATGGTTAGCTGGATTCGGCAGCGTAAACAGACAAAGAGCAGCATCTATAGTTGATGCTGAATTTGAGCGTACAAGGTGTGTTCTCGCAAATGATTTGGCTAGGTTACGAGCAAAGAAAGCCATATTTACTCTCACGATCGACGAATGGACAACTCAAGTCCGCCGTTTTCTCGGTGTGACATTGCACTGCTCGGAGCAGATTCCATCAATAAACAGCAAAAGTGTTGATCTTTTGCTTCTTAGATTTAGATCACGAGCAACGGCTGAGAATCTGCTAGAAGTCTTAGTTTCCGGTTTGAGAGGATTTGGGTTGGAGCTCAGAGATATTAGAGGCATCTCGACAGATGGAGCTCCAGTTATGAGAAAACTGGGAAGGTTGATAAAGGAATCAGTCCAAGAGGTACCCTTTTTCCATATTCAGTGTCTAGCGCACGCTATACATTTAGCTGTGATGGACTCGCTCCGACTCGAGCCAATCGAAGATGATCTAGACACGTGGGTAGACGATGTAAACGATGATGCCCCTGAAGAAGGAGAAGCAGAAGCGTCGTCGTCGTTCAATACCCCCAATATAGCTCCCGTGTATTTGTCCGAGCAAGAGGAAATTCCTCTGGTGTACAGTGGTCCTTTCGGCGACCTCGTGTCACAGGTGAGGACGATTTGTAGGCAGTTTGTGGACAGCGCCTCAAAACATGATGCTTTGATGTGCATCGTAAAGGAAGACTTCGGACATGAAATGAAAGTCTTATTATCCAATGACACCAGATGGAACAGCACGCTGTCTATGCTGGAAAGGTTCATGCTGCTACTTGAAATGGCCGCCTCTACCTAAGCGCCCCCTGGTGGTAGAAAAATCTGCAACGATCGCC